GTGTGTGTGTGTGTGTGTGTGTGTGTGTGTTTGTGTGTGTGTCCAGATCAGAGGCCCAAACAAACCTCTGACGTGAACGTCATCCTCCATCATCTCCAAATACAGACTCTTCTCGTCACCCTCCCCTCCCCCAAATATCCCAGAATATCCCAGCTGTCCCCCCACCCCACCCCACCCGGCCCGGCCCAGCCCGGTCTGGTCTGGACTCCTCCTCCCTGAGGGGCTGTGGGGGGCTCAGGTTTTACACTCAGTTCTCCTCCTGTTTTTCTGCTTTCGTTGCCAACATGTTTCATTTCAAAATAAAACGAACTGCAGTTTGTTTGTTTGTTTGTTTGTTTATTACTGGATCTTTCATGTTTGTAATGAACATTAGAAAAGGTTAATTTTCTAATGAAACAGAGAAAATGCTGAATGACTGCTGAAGATTTCTAAAAAACAAAAACTCAGCTGTTCAAGCTAAAAACGAGCAGAACATTAGATAAAAGCTAAAAGAAACAAAATGCATTTTAAAGGCCACATGTAGCACAATGCTGGCTAAATGCTAAAATAAGGCCAAGTGCTAAAATAACTTAAAGTCTACAAATAGCAAAATGCTAGCTAAATGCTAAAATTAGGCCAAGTGTAGTACAATGCTAGCTAGATGCTAAAATAACTTTTAAAAGCCACACATAGCACAATGCTAACAAAATACTAAAATAACTTTTAAAGGCCACAAGTAGCACAATGCTAGATAAATGCTAAAATAAATTTTAAAGGCCACAACTAGTACCAAGCTTGCAAAATGCAAAAATAACTTTTAAAGGCCACATGTAGCACAATGCTATCTAAATGCTAAAATAAGGCCAAGTGCTAAAATAACTTTTAAAGTCCACAAATAGCAAAATGCTAGCTAAATGCTACAATAAGGCCAAGTGTAGTACAATGCTAGCTAGATGCTAAAATAACTTTTAAAAGCCACACATAGCGCAATGCTAGCAAAACGCTAAAATAACTTTTAAAGGCAAAAGTAGCACAATGCTAGCAAAATGCTAAAATAACTTTTAAAGGCAAAAGTAGCACAATGCTAGCTAAATGCTAAAATAAGGTCAAGCATAGTACAATGCTAGTTAGATGCTAAAACAACTTTTAAAGGCCACAAGTAGTACCAAGCTAGCATTATGCTACAATAACTTTTAAAAACCATACTATAATAGCTAAAAGCCCCAACTGGCTTAGCAAAAGCTAAAAGTAGTAAAATGTGAGCTACAAATATAAAACTAATTTATAGCTAAAGGTATCAAAAGGCTAGCTAAAAGCTAAATTTAACAAACCATTCTTAAAGCTTATTGTAGCAAGACATTAGCTAAAAGCTAAATTTAACAAACCATTCTTAAAGCTTATTGTAGCAAGACATTAGCTAAAAGCTAAATTACTAA